AAAAAAAGTTGGCTACAAAGTAAAACATCATAATTCAAGTGGCTAACAGTGTTTTCAACAGAGAGTACTAAATTCAGACCGGTTCAAGGGAGTTAATGAAACAACACTAAGAGTAATGTATTGTGCATGTCTAAAATAATTTTGACTTGAAATTGTTTTTCATCATACTTGCATTACAAATTCAAACAATATAATGATCTGTAGCAGATAAGATCATTTTAAACCCAATACTTCCATCTGATTTGTACATTAGTGAAATGAAACAACTATACTTGCCGCATTTTGAGACACAACAGCATCAACTTATTGAGATGGTGATTATCATCCTATATGATCTTTTGAATTGTTAAATCACATCAAATTGGGAGGCACACTGCAACTATTGCTCAACTTTCAGTGATGTCTCAATACGTTGGATGAGCTTCTCCGCAGCCATTGCACCTTCCTGAAAATTGATTGATGTGAGGAGAAGAATTGGTCATTAATCCATCAACAAAATTGGCATAAAAAACTAATCACAAAAATTCATGATGCAAAATTGCGATCCAAACCAAAAATATGTGATGACGCCATATAAATTTTACAATGAACAATAACATGCTTGCAGGTTTTGTATGTAGTCCTCGACAAAAGTAGATATTCTAATGAACAAGATTTTTGCTTCTTTTTTCCTTAAAACGATTTAATAGTATCCAATTTCCCCCCTCCCAAAAATGGCACAACCCTTTTTGGTTTCGTGAGATCTCTCATTAATCATTACGAGGAACACAATACACACATACCTTCATCTCTTTTAATCACTTCGTTTGACAGAGAGGCGTGTATGGACTAGGATATCTACATACTTGGTATAGTCTGAAAGATTTAGGGCATGAAGCATACACTAGTAACTAGAAGGGTGATATTTTTTAGCACTGAAATTCATTTCAGAACAATAAAATGTTAAAAGAGAGAGACCTGGAATCAAATCAATTAATTCTAGATGGTAGAAGTCATCAACTTGTGTTTCTATTACATCAACTCAAATGCCATAATAAAAGTTCTAAGAAAATGGCTATCTCCCCTTTTATATGGTATAGATCATGGGCGAAAATAAAAAAAATTTCAAACCTTTATTGGATTTCTATTACATCTATTCAAAAGCCACGTTATAGGTGTTCTATTGCCTAAGAAGCACAGGCACGTCATTTGAATTCTTTGAAATTGTATACTTACATATCATTTCTTTACTTCTATACTTTAACTTTTCAAAAAAACATTAATTCGTTTAGCTTTGATTTTGCAGTGGTACTAACATAACTTTGTGGTGTACTATATATAACTGCCGCTAGAAAAGAAAAATGCGTACAGTGTTGTGTAACAATATTGACATGAACATACCAATAATTAAAATTCCTGATTTCATACTCCAAATTTTAGAAATCAGGACCCTCAGTTAAGTTCATGTTCTTCGCATATTAGAACTACTAAGTATATAACAATATAGGACACGCACATGGTGAGTTGGACCTCTTCTTGAGGCATGCCCAAGGAAGTGTTCCTCAAATGTGACAAATTTTAAAGATTTATAACATATAGGACTCTGCATACTGATAATTGTTCAAGGTTGGTGTCTGATAAGTATGATACACAGACACGTCACCCACTCAGGAGTACCAGTGGTTCAATCTCTCGCTTGCAAGATAATGTTGCCATAGAAGTGCTTCAAAATGTTGGACTAACTTTTGAAAAAGTTCTGTAATTACTTACAAAGCGGTCGCATGGTTTCCCGTCCTTGAACAAAATGAAAGTTGGCAAAGCCTCTATTCTATACTTGTCTGCAATGCTGTGATTCTCCTCCGTATCAATTTTCAATATTTGGATCTTATCCTTCATCAAAGCACTGACTTGTTCCAGAATAGGAACCATGAATTGGCAAGGACCACACCTACAAAATACAATAGCCAGATTAGATTGCATAAGATGCATGTTTGGCTAACCTAAAATAAATAATTTGGTCAACTTAGTAAAATAAGAGTTACTTTCAATAAAAGTAACTCTTTGTTATCCATATGTTCAGTGACAATAAGGTACTTAAAGCAAAGCTTAGCCAAACTTGAGGTAATGATTAACTCATAGCTTTATTGAAGCAGCCTAAGAAACTAAAGAGATAACCATTTAATGAAACATAAGATAATAAGCACAATACTGCTTCTCATTTACAAAGGCTAGGAATGGGAGTCGTATTAATAAAAGAGACCTTACCAAGTAGCAAAGAAGTCAACCAATACTGGTCTATCTGAATTCTCTAACACATCAACAAAAGATGATAAAGTTTGTTGTTTCGCTTCAACCTGATCATAAAAACATTAATCAGACTTAAATACAAAATTTATCAAAGTATGATACAGAGGAAGCTCAAACATTTATGGAGATATTACTAAGTCTGAAAGTCTAGTCGTAGTCCACTGCTGCTCTAAATCAAAGCTCAAAATGCGTACATAAAAAAATGAATACGGAGAAATCGGAGTCTACCGTCTAAGACAAGAAATTTCTTATATAAAACAAGGAATTATTGCATTCAAAATTTTAATATTTTATACTTGATTTCCCAATATTCGGAATTGCTCCATTTACTCAATTTTACTTAAAAAAGAGTACTGTTCCTTAAATCATAATCAGCATTCAATTCAAACTATACAGACCAAAATCAAAACATCACTAAAATGTCGATAATTTATTCCTATTTTTCACAATAATAATAATTACCAGATGAAGCGTTGGCTTGGATTTGAAGGTTTGGTTTCGAATCGTAAAACTCCGAAGTTGAGTAGGAAATTGAAGAGATGACAAGTGAGAAAGCTTTCTTAATGAATTTACAGATTTTGATGAGGCTATTGCGCCATTTCCATGAACTCCCGCCGCTACTGTTGTCGCCATTGTTACAAAGAGAGAGACAGTGAGAGAGACGAAAGAAAGGTGGAGGTAGGGCAGTGTGGGGAAGAAAGGCCAGAAGAAAAACAGAGATTAATAGGAACAGTGGAGTCACGTGACGTGAGAGCAAAGACAACTGAAAGTCAAAAAGAAAAGATTACAATGGAGGTCATCAAACTATTAACAATGTAACACGTGAGTCCTCAATCTAATCAGTAAAGGTCTTGAACATTTGTTTGGTAACACTCGAGTTCCTACTTTACAATTATACCGTTATTTCTTGGGTAAATTCTTCCGACAATTTCCAACCTTTTTTCATAAGTTTAGTATATCCCGAACATTTCAGTTATAGCATCCAACTTCTCGATCTTATAATACTACCACAAAAAATGTTCATTCTCGCATGTTATGTATGACGAATGATAACATGCTCCAAAATTTGAGAACTCTAGTCTAATTTTACCTAATTGTTATTTGAAAATAATTTACAAGTGTTTGGTGGTGATTAAATTAGATTTTTTTAATAGATTGTTATAGAATTTTTTGAAATGTGTAGCTGAAAAGTTGTAAAACCTATGAAAGGTGTGATTACTATTGATTGCTTGACTTTAATTTAGATTAAAATCGAATTTTAATCCAAACCAAACAGACTCTTAGTCTTATCTTTAATTGTATGAAAACTAATCGACGGATGATCATACCACTTAGTGTTTTCTTTTCTTTTCTTTTCTTTCCTTTTATGTTTTGATCAATTAAAGATAAAGGTAAATTTGTCCTCCAGTTTTTTTTTCCTTAAAAATTGACCTTTTAATTAAAGTGAGAGTTGTTATATTCACACCACAATAATTTTTTTATTTTTATAAAAACACTACCTGGTTGAGCCGTATTCTTTCAAAAAATACATTCTTAAACAGTGATTTAATATCATTTCAATAACGTATTCTTCAATAAAATAATATTACACATAAATCTAAAAGTTTCCTCATTTTTTAATTATTTATTCTCCATCAATCTAGTATTTCAAAATACATTCTTTTAAAATAATGTGGCTCAATCACACACTAAATATACCCCACCAATAATAGGAGATACAAGGAACGATACATAAAATAACTTTTTATTTGATTGATAATAATATAAAGCAGATGATATTTTAGCCATTTATATCATTCTCAAACTTCCTTCTTGCATACGTGTCCTACCAACTCCCCCGCCCTCAACCTCGGAAGTGCATGTTGGTTTAATTTATGCATGGTGAAATGAGACATTGGAATGGTCTTTACTCCTAAATATTCAGACAATAAAAGGGGAAGGGAAAAAAAATTAAAAATTTGATCACACTTATATCCTTAACTTTTTTCTTGATCAAATTCTTATTTTCAACATTTTATTAATCAAACAATCTTGTCATTAATTATGATTTTCTTTCAAAAATATTATTAATGTGCTTTAAAATCAAAGTCAAATATTTAATCGCATTATTATTATTATTATTATTATTATTATTATTATTATTATTATTATTATTATTATTATTATTATTATTATTATTATATTTTGCATATTCAAAAATACAATGAGCAAATGAATCTTTTTACTCAATCATAAAGAAAAATTTTAAGATAAATCATAACTGAAACAATTTGAGTTAAGGTAAAAAAAATGTTTGAGATATAAATGTCATAATGAGTAAAGTTTGTGACCTTTCACGCAATTAAAATGTAGTCTAGGGGTTAAAAAACTGTGATGTGATTATTTTAGCCTTAAAGTAAAAAGTTGATCGTCTAGTGAGGACTCAAGTGCAAGGTTGGGAATTGCCACCTAATAAAAAGGGAGAAAAAGTTTGGGGGACCTATTTGCTATATTTTTAATAACTTCAGGACACCATCTGCAAATTTCCCAAATGATAACGTACGTGGTTGTGGCGTATGGAAAAGGATAACAAAGAAGAAATTTGACGCTTAAAGAATAGAAGATACCTTACTTTAGAGTGTCTATTAAGAGATAATTTATCTGCAATATTATATATTGCTTTTCTAAGAAGTAACACGCGTAAATATACTCTCACTCGAATGGAATTTCTAATTCACGATAAAAAAAAAAAAAAAAAGAAAGTGTTCATGAGTTGTACACTGCAGCTCTTATATTGAAGATATATAAAATTATTAAGTCAAGTCGTAATTGGTACAACCCGTATAATATTATAAAGATTTTGATTAAACAAAAAAAAAAAAAAAAAAAAAGTCTATGCAAATTAGACAAATTACATTTTACCTTTACAAATTTGAACTCGTATTTAAGATCAATTTGGATTAATTGATACATTAGATTTTAAGCAATCTTTGATTTATCTGGATTCAAAGTAGTAGGATTAATCTCCAATTCATCGTGGGCAGAGTTATCTTGACCACAAGTAAGGTGGTAAGATGTGATATTGCCACCTCATCGATTGGACAGGAGATCAATCCTATTCAAAATAGATGGTCACAAATTTGATAGGAGAATAGAATTCAATATCATTCTAGGCTTGAAAATATTAGGCTTTGCGAGCCATACTTTAAGAGCATGCATTAACTAGATTAAATTTTTCATATAATCTATTGAGAGGGAAGTCGAGTCAATGAAATCTGTTTTGATATTTTAGGGCATGTTTGGCGTGACTTTTGAGAAGTCAAAAAGAATTTTGGAAACCCAAAAATGACACCTCAGCCCCTGTCACAGAGCCTGTCAAAGGCCCCTGTTTGAGCAGATTAATTGCATTAAATTTATGAAAATGCTTCTTCCAGAGCTACATCCTTGGTGCCATACGTTTTAAAAAGGAAATTTCAAGCTTGGTAGTCCAGTAATGAATCTCTTCTCTTCCAGATGATAAATAATAAACCAAAGTTTCCTTCTTAAGTACTGGTAAGTAGCCAAAGAATCCCATATCTTAGAGAAACCAAGCTGATGACTTATCCTCAATCCAGCCATATTAGCTAGTACACATTCTTCATAAAAGGCAGCTAGAGCTTTGCCTTGTCATTCCTCCACCGCTGCAAATGCAAATTTAGAAGAATCAGAATTTAACTTAAAACACACCCATGCTCGGCTTTCTCCGTAGAGATAATTCTGGAATTTTACTTCTTTTACTGAGTTATGCCATTTTACCATATCGATTTTATCAGAATTGTGCCATGTCAACTACCAAAGAAATGCTGTCAAGTGTTAATCCGGCACAATTTTGATAAAATCACTCTGATAATATAGCTTAACTCTCTTTTATTTGGTTTGGATCCTTTAGAGATAAGACCCACTCCTTCAAGTATTAAATTAGCGAGTCTGCTCTGTTTTGTCCATCCTTCGATTCATTTAGGTTCAAAAATAAAGTAATAAAAGAAATTTCAGCCATATTTTAAGCCAATATGGGCCTATGATTTTTAAACCATTTCATTAAATATTTATCTGTAACGTTTTAGTTATTATCATCTTTTATTCTTCTATAAACTGTTAATATTTTTCTATTTGAATTTTAGTTTCATTTTCGAACCAAAAAAGAAACTATCGATTTTTTCACAAAGATGCATCGAATTGCTAATCCGTTGTACGAGTTAAGAAAAAACTATTGAGGGTTAGAATCCCTCTCTCTCCTTTTTTTTTTTTTTTCCCTCGTTGAATAGATTTGTTTCTATTGGTTTGGCTAATTTCCAGGAATTTGTCACTGCCAAAGAGAAACTAGAAAGAAAGTGACATAGTAGCAGTATAGCATCATAATCATCAAGTCGCAATCAATGAGGTAAAACAATTCAAGAGTCCATTCCATGCTAATATTATTTATAAGAAATCTATTATCCATAGTAGATAATTTGGACAAATTAACATTCATATGATTACTACACTAAAATCCATCATAAATTTCTAACATGAAAGGGACAAATAATACATCAGAATTTAGTTTTGTCCTTAACCTGCTCGAATATGTCACATGTGCCCTTTATATATACCACCAAATCTTTGAGTACTGAAGCATAGCAACTCCCATTATCAAGTTCCAATTCACAAACAGCTAATATGAAGGGTTCTACCAGTTCTAACTGTCTTCTGCTTCTGCTGATTGTTTGCTTTTCGACAAGCTTTAATCTTCGATGTGCTCGTGCTGCTGATCCCACAGATGGCTTCACCTTAGTGCCATTAAGCGATGGAAATTTTGTTCTTCAAAAACCATATAATTTACCACTTGCAGATAGATATAGTGATGCAAGTGGAGTCAGAAAATTTTGGGTTTATACAAATGATAAGCCATTCCAATCTGGAAGTGGTACCAGACCCCGCACAGAAGTTCGCATTAAGGTAGGCAATGATAGACATGGACATGTGTGTTCGACATGATAAGTATCGGATACGTCAATACACGACTTTTCAAGAAATTACTGAGATGACATGTCACTGACATGTTAAAAAAATTCTTTAAAAATTTTCATTTATATAGTATAAATTTAGTTTTATATTTGTTATTATTTTTTTTGGTTGAAATCTTTTAAATATAAGTATCTATTTAATATTTACTAATAACTTTGATTTAAAAATATAAAATATTTTTAAAAAAAAATATTCATGATAGAGTTTCCGCGGAGTATCAGTATCGACACATATCGAATATGAGCACACTACTCTAGTTGAAGTATCCATGCTACAGCGAAGGTATGATACTTCAACTAAGAACATCATACTCTATATTCTGAACGATAATTCTTCTCATTCTCAATTTATGCGTAGGGCCTTGATTATTCATCTGGGATTTGGCAATTTGAAGGCTATGCATATGTTCCGAAAGGAACTTCTGGAGTAACAATAATGCAAATCCATGGTGCAAGTGAAGGAGCTACAACTTTACAGCTGAGGATTTATGATGGTGATATGAAATACTACAAATTCGACGTGGTGGCAACTGATCTTTACGATAAGTGGTTTAGATTGAATGTGATTCATGATGTCGATGAAGGAAAGATCACAGTTTTCATCAATGGAGTTAAAAAGTATGCGGTGAATGATCAAGGACCAGGAGACCTGTATTTTAAGTGTGGTGTATATGCTGCACCAGAAAATTCAAGCAAATATATGGAATCAAGATGGAAAAATATCAAAATATACAAGAAATGAGTATTAACTCTGTGGATTTATTACATTGTGATCAAGAAAAATAGCATGAAACAAAAGTATATGTAATGTATTATGTATATGAATACCCTCTATTAGTTATCTTTTGTGAATATTACATTTATATATAAGAAGTAAAAAGGTTCTTAGCACAAGCACTTTCTTTGGAAGGTTTGTCGGTTTTGTACGTTCCAAAATCCTTAGGTTTTGTGTCCGATAAGAGTCCGATATGTTCTAGATTTAGTAGAACAACAATAAACTAAGCATTAATTTAGAGTTGGATACGTCAATTTCTTTCGACCACAATTTACATTGGGATTCATATCATAAAATGTGACAAATTTTACGAGAATAGTTAAACTTCCGCAACCCCCCTTTACTCGGCTAGGAAAAAATGTAGACAGGGTTCAAGTGTTAGCTAAACAAGATTGTATAAATTTTATTTGCTCCATTCTCAAGATCAATGAACTCATTTGAAATTTTGAACCCGAGTTCAAATTAAAACACCTAAACGATCATTGATTCATATAAATGTATAAGAAGTTATATTTAAAAAATGAAAGGATAAATGCAAAATTCCTAAACCCTTAAAACTGCAATCAATTTTCTGCACAAAACTTTGAGATACCTTAATTAGCAAAGCTCTAGCCCGAATTCACACTTTTTGAGTCTTTAAACTTATCTTCCCTTCTATCCAAACAAGATAGAATCATTGTCTTGTCACGTTCAATCAAGCGACGAGTTGACTCATGGTGTCAAAATCCCTATTTAAGATATAATTGCTCTTTGCTTCTACATCAAGTTGCTACCAATTTTCCTCAGAAATCCATACTTGAACAACTTGATATTATGATCCCGTTCGATTTAGATAAAAATCAAAAAAAAATTTAAATTGATGGAATGTGTGCTTGAAAAGTTGTGTATCCCAGAAAATATATAGTTAAAATTAATTGTGAACATAAATTTTAAACAACATTTTAAGTTGAACCGATTTATAAATTTATAAGTTACAATTTATTTATCGTCCACAAATCACAAAAATATTATAAGTTACAATTATTTTACAATCACAAATTATCAAATTATCGATCATAAATTAACAATATTTTAGGTCACAAATTATTTTTTGATCATAATTTATCTTTTTCATTGGTTACGTATTGTTTATTGGTCATAAGCCATTAGTCATATTGATCACAAAATATCCAATTTATTGGTCACATATTATTTATTAGTCACGAATTAACCAATTTATTGATCATAATCAACCAAAATAATTGGTCACAAATCCCACCCCACGCCATCTCACCCACAACCAACGTACAACCGCCCCGACCACTAACTCACCACCTTAGCCAACATCACAACTACAACAAATTAACAAATGTATTGGTTACAACTATCCAAATAATTGGTTACAGGAGCTGTTCACCACCACTACCACTACTTGTTACAACATCACAACCACCACCGCAGCCATTTCAAAATTGACCCCTAATTTGAAATTGCAAGCATGGCCCTGTAATTTCTCCCAAATCCTAATTTTCTCAATTTTTCTATGTAATCGTAGGCATCGTCACCGTTCTGTCAAGAGGCCATTGGGCAACATTGATGTGAGGTAGCATTTCGAAGCCACCATTCGCAGCAGCTGCAGTGCGGTAGCTGATAAGTGCAATTTGTGCACTTATTTAAGCCGTTTTGTTAAAATTTTATGTCGTCAATTAATTAATTCCTAATTAACTTGGTTTAATTTTTTGTTGTTTTTAGTGATGGACTCGTTCGGAGCAAAAATTGGCCATTGGAAGGAAAGTTTGGGAATCAAATTCAACACTTTGAAAATTCAAGGACTTGACTTGAACTAAAGAAAGGCATTGGTTGCATAATTAATTGGGTTTAAGGATTAAATTGTATGATTTAAAACAATTGAGGACTTAGAGAAAATTGTGGTATAAGTGGGCCTCTTGGGCTGATTTCAATGATAGAGAATACATATGGGAATTATATAGAAAGGGGGACGGCTGCCAAGCTGCGGGGAAAGAAAGTTGGAAAATAACCCAGCAAAATTTGTCTTCTTTTATGAGTCAACAAAAGAGGGCAGCTTGGGGAAACATAGGGGAAAATAATTGGGCAGCACTTTGGAGGAGCTGAAGGAGTTTCTTTTCTTCTACATACAAAAAGAGACGAAAACTGGGGAGATTAACTTACAGAAAACGGCGGCTGCAAGGACACATAAAGGAGGCAAAAGATAGAGTTCGTTGGGGAATCAAACATAGCAACTGGGTGGAGAATTATATAAATACACAGGAAGCTAATTTCATGAGCAATTGAATTCTTTTTGGAGCAAAACAAGGTAGTTGGCTGCTATATATGTTTTTATGCACAGAAAGTGGGAGCCTACTTTGGGAATTGGTTTCAAATAGATTAAAAAAAAAAGGCAAAGCTGCTAGGAAAGAAGGCAAGGAAAAAGGGGCTGATTTTGAAGAATAAAAAAGAAGAAAACTCACAGAAAACGGCTGTATTTGGAGTGAAAAAGGCTGCCATGGGGATTGATCATACATTACACAAGGCGGCTGAATTTTATATATATATATTTACACAACAAACACACGCTGGAATTGAAGCAGAAAACATAGAAAAGTTGGCTGAATTTTTGTGCAATTATTCCTCAATTGTGCAAATAATTTGGAAATTAATCGCGTTTCAGCAATTTCTCAGAGATGTCCTTCCACTTTTCTTTGTTTAATCCCAATATTATGTTAGGCTAAATAATTTAATGAATTGGATGGATGACAAAATTATTTAATTCTTAGTTTTGATTCGAGATCTATATTTTTATCTTGACTCGTGTTGTAAATCCAGTAATATGTCTATTTGTATTGTTTTAATGTTTGCGCACCACTAGAACAATAAGTTGATTATTCATAGTGTTGAAAAATTCACGATAGGTAGAACATTATTATTGAAACACAAGGGTAATAAATGTTAAGAATAATATTTGTGGCGTGTGCGATCTTATGTGATAATCCTAAATGTCAATGCATGTTTGCCATATGAATTCGGACTAGGATCGTCTCATAGTAATCATAGGTTTATTATATCTTGGAAAATAATAACAAATAAAAGTGGAATTATCGATCGTCGCAATTGCATGAATTAAGATAACCATTATTGGTTGAGAATTAGATCTACGAATTGATCAATGGCGTCGAAAATTCAATACGTTCACACACTTGATTTTTTTTCAAAAACCAATTTTCATTGATTCCAAAAGTTTTAGTTATAAAAAAAAATTAGTTAGTTATTCATCAATCGTCTTTCGGTTATAAACACGAATTTAAATATATCAAATATACTCGAATTAATCATTATTCCCTGTGGGACGATAACTCTCTCATCACGATTATTACTTGTACAACGAACTCGTACGCTTGCGGGATTTTGACAAACAGTAGCGTCGAACTATATCGTCCGTAGCGCCTAAGGCTACGATTTGCGGTGCTACTATCAACACCAATGCCGACTGTTGCGAAGAAGTGTTGCAACGTGTAGCAGCACTTTAGCGAGGCAGCATTGCGATTATTGACTTCTAGTTCAAAACATGTCTTAATTCTCTTTAGTGGGCTTGGATACAAGTCAGATTATTGACTTTAAGTGCCCTGAATTTTGAAGTAGAATTATTGGGCCTTCAGTCCCATGAATTATTAAAACAAAAAGTAATTTTACAAATAACTGACTTTCAAATATCAACGTGAAAAGTGCTCTTGTTTAATTTATTCGTTAAAAAAATTTAAAGGCTAAAATACCATTTTAATTGGTCATCACTTATTTTCGTTGAAAAAATGTAATTTAATTTGTCGAGTTGGTTGAGTTAATACTCGCTCAAATTTGAGCATTTTATTGAGTTGATCAAACTTGTGCATAAGCAACTCGACATTTCATTAAGTTGGCACACTAAATGACTAAATACATGACCATTAGTTGAGTGCATACAATTGTTAAGCTATAACAACAAAGAATACTACTTTTCAAGTTAATTACATGAATGGTTACTGAATTTTGCCATATGTTATCACTCAATAAATGAATTTAAAATTGTATCTCAATGGTCACTAAATTTTGCCAGGTGCTACTACTTCATAAATGAACTTAAAAATGTATCTCAATAGTCACTGTACTATGCATCGTGTTACTCATTCATCACTCAAATGGAAAAATCAGTTAACTTCAACAAACGGCGTCAACTGAAGTGATGGATAAGTGATACGGTGCATAGTTTAGTGATGATTGAAATATATTTTTTAGTTCAGTTATGAAGTAGTAACACTTGACGAAATTTAGTGACTATTAAGATACATTTTTAAATTCAGTTATTAAATAGTAATAATTTTTGTTTTCCTTAAATCAACCTTTGTAAAAAAAGAAAATAAAGAAAAGGAAAGGAAAAAAATATGTTTATTCGATATATAGTCTCCATCACTATGAAAAGTACGTTTGATTTTTAGATCAACTGGTATCAGTTCACCGTATCTTAACCTTCATGTAAAGATTGAAAGAGAAACAGTAGGAACACTGAAAGAAAATAACAGAAAAAATTACAAAAATGATCGAATTAGTATTAATGTAACTAAGGTCGATTTGATTTTTCAACTTTTTTACCTTCATTTTCTTTAATTTCTTTTTTTACTGAGATCGATTTGAAGAAAAAAGAAATTGTTACTACATAATAACTTAACTTAAAAATGTATTTTAATGGTTGCTAAAATATGCACCGTGTTACGAATCCATCACTCAAGTCAATGTCGTTCGTTAAATTTAAAGGATTTTTCCATTTAAATGATGGATGGGTAACACAATGCATAGTTCAGTGACCATTGAGGTATATTTTTTAGTTCAATTATGAAGTAGTAACACTTAGCAAAGTTCAGTGATGATTGTGATATATTTTTAAATTCAGTTATAAAGTAGTGGCAATTAGCAAAGGTCAGTGATTATTGAGATGCATTTTTAAATTCAGTTATTAAGTAGTAACATATGGCAAAATC